TGTCCAGTCTCTATGCACTGTGGAGTGGGCTTGATCTTTATTCCCCAAAGACAGTGTTCACCACTTAGACTGCTGCTGTCCCTAGCCTCCCAGCCCCCTACTCTCCATCTTGTACCTCCACAGATCTTACCAGTGTCCCTGGTTATATGGTCCTGTCCTGCTGCCTTTCTGCTGCTTTTTTCCAAGGATTTGTCTTTATTTTAGTTGTAATTCCCGTTCTTGTTAGTGATTGTCTGTGTAGCTTCCGTTGACTCCACCTCCATTTTCACATTCACTTTTTTAATAAGGCAAAATAAGATAGTGTATATTGACACTTTCTATTATTTAATGGCATGCGTCTGGGTAGTGAACTTGACAGTTTAACTTCAGAAAACAATGCTTGAATAGAAAAAAATGATTGGCTTAAGTGCATGGAAACAGGAAGGTAAAAGAAATTATGGCTGAAATTCTCAGCACATACTTCAAAGTTTCTGAGTTTTTTCTGCTCCATCTATAATTTACTATAGTTTTTATCTTTAAGGACTTAAACAGATGTTCTTTAAGTATTCTTATATTTAACAAAATAGTATTGTTCATAATGATATTAAAATATTATAATTCATTTAGAATATTTGTGGCCCAGTTCAAAGTTATCTTCTAGTAGTTGAAGCAATGTTTATTGGCAGTATGGAAGTGCCCATAAATGTGTTCAGTAAATGATGGATGAAAGAGTGAATGAAAGACTCATTTCCATCATTACTTATTATTTTTATATCTTAAGATTTCTGCAAAGAAAGATTTATTTAAATAAGCAATAACTTATATCTGTAAGTTCATTTTAACAGAACATATCATGTTACCCTGAATATAAAAGTGTAAATTAGCCTTGGCAGGTTTGGTGTAGCGGTTAGAGCGGTTTGATTCCTGTCAAGGGCACCGACATGAATTTCAGGTTTATTCCTGATCTTGGTTGGAGTCATGCAGGAGGCAACCAAACATCTCTCTCTCTCTCTCTCTCTCTGTCCCTCCCTCCCACCCTTCAATGCTACCCTTTCACTCTATCTAAAAAAGTCAGTGAAATGAAAATATATCCTTGAGGATTAACAAAAACAAACAAACAAACAAACAAAAAGCACAAATGAATTAGTCATTATTAGATTTTATTTTAAATTTATATTTAAAATTTATTTTGGTAACATTTTATTCTACCACACCTTATTTGCAATGTTTGCTCCTTGATGCTTTCGCTCCCACTTAATATTCATTTTAATAACTTATGTCACTCCTTTTGCCTTTAAAGGGGTGCCAAATTTTCCATTAACAAACAGATCTTTATGTTATTGGCTAAACAGTGACCTCTGATTCTGAAAGGAACTAAAAATGGCCAAGTATCTCTAGTATCCCAAAGAAACCTGATATTTTTGTGTCTTCCTCAAATTTTTTAAACAAAGGCAGAGCTAGAAAGTACATTATTTTTTGGGTAAGGATAAGATAATCAAACCCATTTGTTCTACAGTTTGTTCCAACTCTAGAAAAGAATTTGGTGGAGGGTATTATAACTCACAGATTTAAAAAAGACCTGATTATTTTTTCCTGTGGAATTGAGTTTTTAGGTTTATAAGAAATTGGTTTATAAAGTAAATTCTATTTTCTGCCAGAACTTTAATTTATATGATCAAAAAACTGTTCATTGGTTTTGCTACCATGTGAGACATTGGTAATCTTGATGAGAGTATAGCAGTGTAGACAAGTCAGGTTGGAGAGGGTTGAGATGTAAGGAAGTGGAAACAGCAGGTCTAGACAACATGGTAGAATGGGGAAGTGATACACTGAATTTCATTTTTTTTCTTTCATTTGTGTTTCTGGAGGATATAATAAAAAATGAATATTGAATATTAGATTAATTAACCAAAATAAGTATAGAGAACTATTATGTGATCAGCACTATTCCAGGAATTACTGAGGTTGCAAATAACTTTTGGATCTAACCTCTCAGGTTTCTCATAATCTTATTAGTGAGATAAGATTAATTAACATAAAATAAAACTGAAACAGAAGGGCAGAATGTTATAAAAATCCAAATAGTGTGTTCTGAGCAATAGGATTATATAGGCACAAAGAGGGGAGGAATCAATGATGCCTGCATTTCAGGAGATTCTTCAGGAAGTAAGCTTATAAATTGGGATGAATTGTATATATATATTTGTCATTATTATCTCTTCTATCTTATTAAGCACTCTATTTGTCATTTTACACCCCGTCTATGCACTCACATAAGTACCTTTAACATGGTAGGCACTCCAAAAATATTTGCTGGTTGATATTTTTTGATGATATAGTAAAAGTAAGCACAAGAAAGACATTTTGTTTTTCTATCATACATGTAAAAAGTCTATATTGACCATGGACAGAGTACCTTATCATTAGATCATAGTGTCAATCTGAAAGTAAAGCTTGTATAAACCTGCCCCTTAAAGAATGCAGCACCCAGAAGCTTACCCTCACAGCAATGAAGAATGAAAGTAAAAATTCGAATATCTATTGGCTTGTGAAAATAGTTTTAGTTCATGGTCTGAATCAATTAGCCATGACTTATAATATCAAAATTTTATAATGATAGTAAGTGACTTTTCAGCAGAAATGTTTTTTAGTGCTTGGCATATTAAAAAATTGATATGAATATTAAATAACGTGAGTTAAAAAAAGAATAACTTCAAAAGTTCTCCTTTTAGGAGCTGTATTTAAGTAGTATCTATCTTATGCCTAAGAAAAGCAGGGATTTTAAAATAGCCATATCTTTATATTAAGGAAGTTTTATCTTGACAGGCTTCGCTCAAATTTCAGTGTTCCACAAAAACACAAGGTAATAAATGATATTGTTGCAATCAAAGTTGAACAAATACATAATTTTACCAGACATGGTTACATAATTAGAATAGTGCCACATCACCAAAGACAGGGAGAGAATTAGTGCAATTAATAAAGTGAGACCCTTAACTAATTTTTTTGTAGGTGAATTGTCTTTGCCACAAAATTACACTTTGATGAGTATGCATATTGAAAGTAAGGTTATAATTTAACATTGTGGCTGTTGCAATCATACTTGCATATGAAACAATTACTCTGAGAAACAGCAACTGCTTTTCAAAACTGTAATAATTAACATGTATTTTTCTGAATGATGAATTAAATGGGACCACAACTTCATAAATGAATGGTTTTTTAAAATAAAAATGTAAATGATCAAAACCCATATTTAATAAAGAGTTTGTCAAGTTTTTTCTATCTTTTGTATTGCTATCTGCCAAATAGTCTGCACATTCAATAAAGTATCTATACTCTAATTAGTTAACCAACAGTATGTAAATGAGTCTCCTTTATGGGAAAAACAGAAACAAATATTAATTCATATTTTTCTCTTCAATTTGCCATTGTACTAGAATTTTAAGTGGGAAAATATGTTATTTTTTGAGTCACAGACAAGCTTCTATATGCACTTTAATTATTGGAGTTAGCTTTTTGTGGTAATTTTAAATTGGGTACTGCTTATTTTTAAATAGTTTTCTTTCTCCTGATTTTTTAAAACCTTAAGCCAAAAGGGCCTTGAATATCACCTGTGGTTTTCCTTTTGCTGAAGTAATTTTGGTATTTGATTCCGTTATCTCTGAAGTGCCTAGGAAACATTTAAAACCTTAGCTTTAGTAATTAAACTTTCTCATGTAGAGAGGGCAGGCAGGAAAGAAATAGAACATTTTATACCCATTGTATTGATAAAATTTAAACATTTTGAAAGAACTAAGCATTTGAGGAAATGTAAATCAACTGGATCTCTTATGCATTATTGTACAACCACTTAGAGAAAAGTTTCCATTATATCCTAAAATTGAATATTCACAATGCATATGCATTATACTGTTTTAATTTTTAATTGATTAATTATATCAAAGGAGCCATGTCTGGTGAGATGATAATGGTGATTCACATACCAAGAGTTAATAATTAATCCAACATTATCCAGTTCTATACACTTGAGGATAGACTATTCTTAGAATTTCAGGATGGCCAAGGACACAGGTGGCCGTCATTTGGTAAGGCTAACCCAAAATTAGGAGTATAGAGAGAGGCTTGTTTTGTTAGAAACACTATACATTTAGAGTGGTGCTTGCTTCCTAGAATTTTATGAATGAGTTCATGAAGCAAAAAAGGAAAAAAGGAGTTATGATTATTTTCCAGTGGCTACTTAAGGTTTCAGATATTTAATCATAACCAAATTAAAAATTGCGGGGACACATCAAATTGATAGTTTTTTGGTGTGTTTTGTACATTTGGGGGAATGTGAGTTCCTTCCACATGCACAGGAAAAGTGTGTCTGTCTTTCACATAATTTAAGGGGAATGATCTGTACAAATTCTCATCAGAAAACTTTAGGCAATTCTAAATAGTTGTATTCAACACTTAAGTCAACACAAAACATTAGATATAAAGCAACTTGGCTTTTGCAAGGGAAAATGATAAGACTAGTAGAAAAATGTAGAATTATTAACTAAAAAAAAACAAGTTTTTTTTAACTAACTTCCTTTCAAATAGTAATTTAAAAGAGAAGTGCCATTAGCAAGGGGGGGGGGGATTGTTTTGTTGTGATACCAGCTATTACTTATTGTACATTTAATAATGTCCAGGTACTGGACTGGACTCTGAAAGATATTTCTTTTAGTTCTCACAGCAGTCAATAAAATAGTTCTTATTTATTACATCCAATATATGAGGAAACATAGGCCAAGAAGGCTTAAATGAATGTCCAAGTTTCCACAGCTAGTAAGTGACAGAACTGGGATTCCAAACACAGACCTGCCTGATTCTAAACTCACATTTTCTTCCCCAAAGCTGATTCACGTATACAGTAGCCATGCTAAATAAATGAAACAATGGGTCCTGAGATGTTTCAGTTCTCTTATTCATGCCTCCTCCAAAATGGTTCTTCTACACAGAGTATGGGGCCCCAACCCTACCTCTGCTGTCTACAGCACTGATAAGTGACCCATCGGTCTCCTCCTTGACCAACTGGGCATCGAACAGTGCAAAAACAAATCCCTCCTAAAGCTGGGAGAGTCATGCTGTGGGCTACTCCTGCATGCAGGTGGGTACATATATTTTGGGTCCTGTGATCCTGCCTAAGAAAAGTGAGGGGAGTGAAAGATAAATCAAACAGCTGAATACTACTAGTACTAGATAAAGGTGACTATGTCCATATCAGGTTTATAGCAGGTACTCAAAAAATATTGTCATCATTATTACATTATCATCACCATTACTACTAGCTATGTAGCCCTTAGCAATTTACATTATTAACTCTTCTTAGACTCAAGGTCCTAGAACAAAAAAACAAGGTTGAAAGTACTATAATGGCCTAAGATTTCCATGGTGATTTCATTACTAGATAAATTCATTTAAGTTTCCTGGCAAATCACTCATTAAGTGTTAGTAAGACATGAAGTAGTTGTTTTATCTTTTTGATGTGATAAAAATGAGAATATAATTACCTTGCAAAATGTTGGCTTCTACGTATTTCATTTTCCCACAGTCCTATGAATGTCCTGACAAATGAGCCTTCCCCAGACTCTTCATTACCTTTATATAACAATCTCTTTAAATCTAGTACTGACAGAATTCCTTTACCAATAATTTCTTATAATGTATGTAGATCTACATTCAAGTCCCATTCCTGGCTCCTTCTTTCATTCATAATACCTTTAAATACTCAAGTCCACACAAATCTCTCCTATCACACAGTTTGGCAATGACCACTTTTCCATTTTTTCTTTTCATTTATATTGTCTTATTTATTAAGTTGAAAAAGTTGTAAATGCTTTGAAAGTAAAAGCTCCATATACAAATACATCGTAGTACTTACTGCAGCACCTAGCCCAGTGTTTTTTTTTTTTTAATTAATTTAAGTTACAGATGTTTCTCCTTTTTCCCCCACTGATTCCCCCCTCCCCTCCCTCCCTGCCCTGTCCCCAGTTTGTTGTCCATGTCCAGTGTTCATGCATACATGCATATAAGCTCTTGGTTTATCTCTTCCCCACCACCCCCCTATTTAGGGGATTGTCAGTCTGTATCCCATTTCCGCATCTCTGGGACTACCCCTTTCCTCAGACTGTTATGTTCATTATATTCCACAAATAAGTGAGATCATATGAAACTTGTCTTTCTCTGTTTGGCTTGTTTCACTTAGGATGATACTTTCCAGGTCCCTCCATGTAGTCTCAAAGGATAAGAGGTCTTTCTTTCTTACAGCTGCGTAGTACTCCATTGTGTATATGAACCACAGATTTTTTATCCATTTGTCTACTGATGGACACTTGGGATGTTTCCAGATCTTAGCTATTGTAAATAGTGCTGCTACAAATATGGGGGTACATATATTCTTTCTGATTGAAGTTTCGGGCTTCTTAGGATATATTCCTAGAAGCAGGATCACTGGGTCAAATGGAAGTTCAATTTTTAATTTTTTGAGGTAACACCATATTGTTTTCCATAGTGGCTGCACCAGTCTGCATTCCCACCAGCAGTGTACTAGAGTCCCCTTTCCTCCACACCCTCGCCAACACTTGTTGTTTAATGATTTATTGATGGTGGCTATTCTGACAGGGGTGAGGTGATACCTCATTGTTGTTTTAATTTGCATCTCTCTGATGATTAGTGATGATGAGCATTTCCTCATACGTTTCTCAGCCATTTGTATGTCCTGTTTGGAGAGGTGTCTATTCAGTTCCTCTGCCCATTTTTTAATTGGATTCTTTGTCTTCCTTTTGTGGAGTTGTATGAGCACTCTATATGTATTGGAAATTAACCCCTTATCTGATATATCAGTGGCAATTATGCTCTCCCATACAGTGGGTAGCCTTTCCGTTTTGATGATTGTATCTTTCGCTGTGCAGAAGCTTTTGAGCTTGATGTAGTCCCATGTGTTCATTTTCTCCTTTGTTTCTATTGCCTTAGGTGATGTGTCAGTAAAAATTCTGCTGCATATGATGTCTGAAATTTTGTTGCCTACAGTCTCTTCTAGGATTTTTATGGATTCATGAGTTACATTTAAGTCTTTTATCCATTTTGAGTTTATTCTTGTGTAGGGTGTAAGTTGATGGTCTAGTTTCATTTTTCTGCAAGTAGCTGTCCAATTTTCCTAGCACCATTTGTTAAAGAGGATGTCCTTACTCCACTGTATGCTCTTGCCACCTTTTAGCCCAGTGTTTTATATAAAGTAGGAGCTCAGTAAATAATTACTGATGGATAAATTCATGTAAGTTATCTATGAAGTCAGTCATTAACTCCTAAAACAAAAACTCAAATGAAGCTCTAGAAAACTGAATACCATAGTTTTAACATGATATAAAATGTGGTACTGTTTTATATGGTAAATAAAATATAGACTCAAAATTTATTTAAAATCCAGAAAAAAATAGTTTGTGAGAGATGAATTCATAATAACTTATTTAAGTGACAATAATTATTTTGAAGCAAGACCTCACACTTTTTTGTCTTAACATTATGGATGACAAACTTACCTTCCTGGGAAATGTCTTTAGAGCTTTCTGCAAGAAAGACATTGCGCTCATAGGTCTAACCTCAGGTCATAACAATGTTCTGATAATTATGCCAACATTATAAAAATTGTATACAACTTGTACCTCGTTATAATCTTACTAATTTTAGGTGATTGAGATTAAATATACCAGTGGAAAATATACTGAAGTAAATAAATAATTTTTCATTAAAATATAAAACTAAGGATAAAAAAAAATATGACTCATTTTCCAGACAATTTGCAAGAACCAACCATTAGAAAGACTTTTTTATGAGATTACACATATATACATTACTGGTACAGAATACTTTTTTTCCCCCTAATTTATTTATGCTACAGATGTTTCTCCTTTTTACCCTATTGACATCCTTGTCCCGATCCAGCGCCCCTCACCCAGGATTGTTGTCTATGTCCATTGGTTATGAATATATGCATATAAGTTATTTGGTATATCTCTTCCCTCCCCGTACCCCCTTCTTCTGAGGTTTATCAGTCTGTACCCTACTTCTATATCTATGGATTTATTTTGTACATTAGCTTATTTTGTTTATTATATTCCACAAACAAGTGATATTTTTTATTCCATGTTGGCTTATTTCAATTAGGATAATACCCTCCACGTCCCTCCATGTCATCTCAAAGGATAACAGATCTTTCTTTCTTACAGTTGTATAGTATTCCATGTAGTATGTACCACAGCCTTTTTATCCACTCATCTATTGATGGACACTTGGGCTGTTTTAAGATCATAGCAATTGTAAATAGTGCTGCTATGAACATAGGGGCACATATATTCTTTCTGATATATATATTCCAGTGGCTATACCAGTCTGCATTCCCACTAACAGTATACTGGAGTTTTCGTCTCTCCACACAAACACCAGCACTTGTTGTGTGATAATTTGTTGATGCTGCCATTCTGACAGGTGTGAGGTGATATCTCAGAGTTGTTTTAATTTGCATCTCACAGACGATTAGTTACTTTGAGCATTTTTTCATATGTCTCTTGGTCATTTGTACGTCCTATTTGGAGAAGTGTCTGTTTAGGTCCTCTATCTGATGTATATTTGGCAATTATGCTCTCCCATATAGTGGGTTCCCTTCTCATTTTGATGCTTATTTCTTTTGATGTGCAACTCTTTTTATTTTGATGTAGTCCTATTTGTTAATTTTTTTCTGTGTTTTTCTAGCCTTAGGCATTATATCAGTAAAAATTCTGCTGTGTGTGATGTCTGAGATTTTGTTGCCCACATTTTCTTCTAGGATTTTTATGGATTCATGAGTCACATTTAAGTCTTTTATCCATTTTGAGTTTATTCTTGTGTTGGGTATAAATTGGTGGTCTGGTTTCATTTTTTTGCATGTAGCTGTCCAATTTTCCCAACACCATTTATTAAAGAGGCTGTTTTTACTCCATTGTACGCCCTTGCCATCTCTGTCAAATATTAATTGAGCATAATGTCTTGGGTCAATTTCCGGGTTCTCTGTTCTGTTCCATTGATTTATATGCCCGTTCTTGTGCCAGTGGCTGTTGCCAAACCAGTGTTCTGTTCAGGCCCTCTGCACTGTGGAGCAAACTTTATATTTTATACCCCAGGGCATTGCTCACAGCTAAGACCGCTGCTGTCCATGTGCTCCCAGCCCACCACCCTCTGGCTTCTCCACAGATCCTGCCGATGTCCCTGTCCTGCTACTTTTATTTTGCTTTTTTTCTGAAGATTTGTCTTTGTTTTAGTTGTAATTCTTGTTTTGTCCTGCGAGATTATCTGTGTAGCTTCCATTCACTCCGCTGCCATTTTCTTTTCCCCAATAGAATTTCATGTGTCATGATTTTTCAGTGATTACTACTTTTATAAATAATTTTACTCAGTATAATAGGGTAAATTGTAAACAGTATCCCATAATTAGACAATGTACAATCAACAATACAATAATTCTAAATGTACACATGTTGAACATGTCAATTATTGTTAGTGTGACCATACATTTTAGTTTGCCAAGGATAGTCATAGTTTATACTTATTGAATGAATAGCAATGATACTTTGTTTGACTCTCAAAAGTATACCAGTTCAGATGCGTAGATACATGCTTATTCTATTGTTTATGCACCCATATAAACCTAAGCGTTACATGATGGAATATATAAAAGAACTATAAGCAAATGTTCATTACCCAGAGGAGTGTGCAGTTTATGACATAAGAAATATTACAAAATAGTCCATAATTCTTTGTATTAAAGTTCTAACTTTGTGGTACAAATAGTAAGCACTGACAATTCAGAAAATAGATAAATGGATGTGGACTAGAGTGGTTAATGCTACTTTAAGGAGTTGCTCTGCTAAAGGATTTTGCATGCATGTGGTCACATGGAAAAAAGTTCAAGGGATAAAGATTTTATTATAGTTCACAGTTGATCAGTAAACAGTGGACATGACTAAATACAAAAGAGGATATGATGAAAAGAATAATCATTAAGGACTTAGAAATTCTGTTCCCTCATCCTGGCTCTGCCTTTGGCAATCTTTATGTCATTGAGTAAATTACTTCTTTTTCACACTA